AGGGAAAAAGAATTCTGGAGAAAACAGAGCTGTTTTCTGTGACACATTTTAAACTTTCATATTAAAACAAAGAGGTAGAAATCATTGTTTTCACCAACATAGCTTACATGAGTTTCAAACAGAATTGAACTGTGGGATAGAAACCGGAGTTTTGCCTGGTAGTCCTAATAACCTGGTGTCAGCAGAAAATGTAAATGCAGAAAGACCATAGGTACACAACTGCTTTCATTTAATATTACAAAGAATTTTAGTTTCTGAAGCAAGTCTTGGGACAAAAGGATTGTTTTGCTACAACCCTAAGAACAAGCTGATTTTTTTTGCAATTAAAAACCAAGTTTTTTTGTACTAGTACAGCTTTTTCTCAATAAGAAGATAAAATTTTAAGTGGCCATTTTTATTCCTGGTACTGAGAACCATAATGACAACAAGCAAAGACTGTGACCTTTTTTCCATCGCTTTGGTAAATGAGGAGCAACAATAAAGACAAAGACTAAAGTTCTTCTTACTAACAGATTGAAAGAAAGCAGAAGCTAGGGAAAGGCAATCACAGATGCAGACCAGAACTTGACAGCAGTCAAGACGCTCAAGGTAAAGCAGGAAAAGGAGTGTTTGCTCCCTGCAGGAAAATGGGTTTGGGAGGTTGTAAAGAATATCTTTTGATATCTCAAAGAACTCCATTCTTCTTCAAAGCAGCTAAAAGTGAAAAGGGCAAGATGAGGCTTTGCAATGGTTGACGACTGTCAGATCCTGCCCCACTTTTGGCTCTCTCAACAATGGATTTCTCTACATGGTAGTTTACAGAATACTACCTGGGAGAACATCCTCAGCTAAGAATTGGGACAAGCTATATTCTTCAGAAATGGCACTGCTACAGCACAGTTCAGAAGGCTTCTTGTCAATTTACCTTTATTTCTGCTATTTGCATGAATGACTGGGGAGACCAAACAGCCCCACCTACCGCCTCTCTCTTGAAAAGCAGCTCTACCTAACAGGCTACACTATCTCATTTTAAAAAACAGAAGATTTGAGTACATAAAAAAAATATACTAGACAGACTTTGTCATAATTAGAACAAAAACAAAAATCAGAAGCCATTACAGATTTTCAGCCTGTTTGGGTTTTTTGGTTTGTTTTTTTTTTGGGGGGGGGGGGTAGTTTTGGGGTTTTTTTCCCTTCAGTACTGATTCTAACACTGGTGCAAAGAAACAATTATTTTCTCTCCGGCAGCCTCTTCCCCATTTTTGCTTGCTACTAACCCTTGATTTCTTTGCCAACAGGGATCTGCTCCCATTTTTCTCAAATCTCTTTTCTACATGGCCCCACCTCCACCCCCTTAAATCTGCAGAGACTGTGCCATCATCTCTCCCTGATTGCCATTTCAGCACTTTCTTTCTTAAAAATCAGCAAAGGGTTGAAGAAGAAAGAAAAAAAGGTATATCCTTTTTTTTCCTCCAGCTGTCTTCTATTTTTGAAAGGAGCTACAGCATTATCAAGAAGAGCCATCCAGGTATCTCAATTAGCACATTAAACCAGCAAGCATATAAAAATGCCTCGGGTATGGGTATTCATCACCCTCCTAACACTAGGTCTCATTGGCTTCTAAATCTTAAAAGTTTTATAATGTATGTACAAAGGCTTGCATCTCATCATGAGGCAGGCACGTAACAACCCCAAGTCTGGAGGTAAAGATTAAGAAACTCAACTTCAGATCAAGCTACAAGCCAGCGGCAGAGGCAGAAACTAGTAATCCTAACTATCGGTTCCTTGACCTCCAATCCAATACCACATTTTTTTCCACCAGGAGAAATATCCTTTTCACACTAACATTCTGCTCCTAAAAACAGAATCTACTTATCAGTTTCAGCCTCTCCTTATAACCTCTATTTTGATTGTGTAAGAAGTCTTAGGGAACACAAAACCTGCAATTTACCCTATTAACCCAAACATCTTAAAAATCCCTCCCACATTCTCAAGAAAATGGTCTGTAGGAGGAAAGCTTGCCTCGCAGTCAGATGCACAAGAGCATTAAGCTCTCAAGTTGGATATGATTTCCAGAATTTTTCCCTGAAAACCAACTCCACCCATTTCAATCTAAAAGACACAGCCTCAAACAATGCTGGGCGTGCATGGAATACTTCCTAATCCATGAGAGCATCCACTGCCAGGTAAGTATAGTATATATAAGGGGAAAAGCAGGCATTTAAACATTTTAAAGATGACCAGTTGAAATGCCGTTTTCACTCAAAGCTACTACAGTCAATGTAAGTGCAATCTTTCAATAACTATGTAATAGATTTATGAAATGAAAAGGAAAAAATCATCATAAACTTAACTGCGTAAAACAGACCGGGAGAGGTAAAAGGGTGGCATCAAAGTAAAGGCTCTATGATAGAAATCAAACTAACTGTGTATCACGCCAGCCAAGCAGACACTGCTGCATCTGCTTCAGAAAGACATTGTGTGGAACAGATTTTTAGTAACTTATAGAGGGAACGGAACGCTCACCTCAACTTTGAGCTGTGGCATCCCTGTATTGCTTAAGCTAGGCTTTATTCTGGTATTCACAAAGCAGCTTCCTCCCCTCCCCATCACATCCAAACGTATTTCCTCCTGCGTTCCTTGAATCTTTAATACACCTTTAACAGCTGCTCCAACAAAAGCATTCACTGTGCTACTTTTCTACTTTACATGATATGCAAATATGTTTTATTGACATAACAGGGAATTCAGCCAACCAGATCAGCTGTCTAAAGAGATCTGGAAATCTTCTCTGAAGACCACTCTTCTTCCCTTGAAGGGGTCTCCTCTTCACAGAGAGAGCCTTAGAGACCTGCCTTCAGGAATGGGAGATTGGTCTCCATTGTCCATTTACTCCTTCTCCTGTCTTCAACACCCAAAAGCAGCAGAAAATGGACTAGTCTCTTTCTTTTTCATCATGATCTATTTTCCCCTAAGCTGAAACAAGAAACCAGTTATTAGGAGATACTAATTCATTTATGTATTATTGATAAATGTGTAACATAAAAGATATCTAGTACGCAAAAAGATCATTCCGTATTCTTTCTATTCAGAATGCAACTACTCAATGCCTTTGTAAATTAAAAAGACTAGGTTGTTTCTTCCCCGTGGGAATGACGAATGGAATCCCAGATGTTTTATAGCATTAGGAATCAATGTGGTCTAGCTATCTCAACTGCTCAACTTGTGATCTGATGTTGTAGCACACTCCCATAGCCTATAGTGCAATCTGGGAAACAAGTTAGTGCAACAATTACTACCATCAGCCCCTCCCAGAATCGCCTCTTTTTTAGACCCTGGCTCAGACTCTCAGCCTCAGTTACAGCACTATGCAGCTAACACAACTCCACGGATTTTCAGCAGTTAATAGAGAGGTAAAACCTAATCTCAGTTTTAGCATACCTCTAGGCACATTTAATCCCTACAGCTCAGATAATGATAATAAAAATCTCATGGACATGAGAAGGAAAGAGCAAAGAGACTCACAGCCATGACCGCCATGGGAAATGGAGAACTAGGAAAAATATAGCTCCAAGCACTCACCTCACTATGAATAACACTGTACCTTCGCACTTATCATTAATGCATATCCGTTAATACTTGTTCGCAGAACACTGTTATTCAAGGTGGAAAAGGTATTTTCCCTTCCTTTTTATCATAAATTAGCTAAGGCTTGAAACTGAGTACATGCTTCCAATAAATCAATTGTCTCTACCATTACAGCAGTTTCTAGAATGCTATTTTGGAGGCCACACCTCAAGACGCTGAAGACCTAAGAACAGTTGGCAGATGCTCATAAGTTATCTCATTTAGGAGATCCCTCAAGGCAGATCTGAATTATAAAGTCAATGTTAGGTAGCAGACCGGTTAA